ATTCTAACTGAGTTGATCCCTTAGTGTGACTAAACCAACATTAGGGAACCTGTGGTCCTCCAGATGGTGTTAGACTCACTTCTTATCAGTCCCCGCCAGGCAGGCCAATGGTGAGAGATGGGAATGGTAGTCGATCAACAGCCTGATCCGTGCAGTAAACATACTATTGTGCTGCTCACAACTGGGAGCGTGATACAGCCTGATAAGAAAAACAGGCAGTTCTACATTGCTGTAGGTGGATTAAATAAAATGTGAAGGCTCATTTGGTCTGGCAATCAGTTTTATGATTCTTTTTCACTGATCTTGCTCTGGATTCTGTCACATTGGGCCAGTTTGCACAATCGGAGTGAAGACAATAAGCCATTGCTTATTTTGAGAATTGCTGGCCCCTCAAACAAGCCATGCTTCCTGGCATGGCAAGCTGCAGCAGCAAGGATAATCAGAGAAATGTGATGGCAGAGCTAACAGCCCCATCCCATAATTCGTCAACCCTGCCTTGGTCATGTGAACCTGACCAAGATGCATGAAAATTGAACAGGAGCCAACCTTTTTTCTTGAACCTGAGGTATTAGAATTGAAGTACTGCAGTTCTTTGAATTTAAAGTATCCAAAGTAAACTTGAACCCAGGACTGAACAACTTGCACTGTTAGGTGTTTCGCCTTGCAAATCCCATCAGTTCTAGCCAGAACAGCCAGTAGTAATTCTGCAGGGTGGCTATCACAACAGGTTTCCACTGATTTCTTCTGCACGATGCAAAGCCCAATTTTGAACAACAGCAGAGGAGCTGCAGGCAGCCAGATAAACTGGAATGCCTGCTGCCGCCTTATTTAAAAAAAAATAGTAACGTGACACAAAGCAATTTGAGTGTTATGACACTGCAAGCATTAATATCTGGTAGACAAAAGCCACAGATCTGCAAGTTTAGAGGAGAAGCCTATACTATGAAGAAACATTTTCAAAAGCATTTATTTATAACATCTCTGAGCTAGGTCTGTTGTCCTCATGTTACAAAACAAGAGCTTATTTCTTTGAAGCCACCTACTGGATTTTGGGCAGCAGGGCCTTTTGTACTAGAGATAGCATTTTGTTAGTGGTTTAGGCTCTTCAATTGTGCTTCCCTTAAGAATGTAAAATTCTATCAGTCCTGCAGTATATAATTTAAGGAATGACGGGAGAGGGGAACACTTAGGTACTGATGCATTTATACACACAGGGCCAAGGAAAGAGGAGGAAGAAAGTTGCAGTGGAAGGACATTTTATCTCATTATAGCGTCATTCTTTTTTATCCCCCACTTCCACTTCTCAAGTATGAGAAACGAGCTCTCTTCATCAGTATGGTAAGTCCACATGAGTTTGAAAGAAAAAGGGGAATTGCTGTCTTGCATCAATATTTATTCTTCTGTAGCAACACACAGCTTTTGGCAATATCCCTGCTCCAATGAAGGTGAAACCTGCAGTTAATTATCAAAGTATTGCAACATGTCAGAAAGCAACCACTGGATTTTCACAGTCAGGAAATGGCATTCCTCCACAAACCGAATGCACAGTGGCAGTGCTTAGACGAATGGCTGTATAATAAATGATGAAAACTGATTTATGCTAGCAAGGGCAGGTCCCCATGGAGTCATTAGCCCATATATCCTGAGTCCCGGAATCCTCCTGCACATTGATGCCAACACTTTCCCCCTTTCTGGACTGTCTTCTGCAAGATTGGTAGAGCATCAAAGAGGTAACTTGCGTTCTCTCTCTCAGTGTAGCTGGAGCCAAGCAAGAGAGCTGGAGAAGCAGTCAAGAGGATTAACTCCCCGGCACAGAGACAAGTCAAAAAATGAGGGAACCCCAGCCAGAGCAACTAGGAAGAAAGGCGGGAGTAGAGGGTAGGAACATAGGAAACTGCCTTGTGCTAACTCGGGCTCCAGCCTGGTATTGCCAACACTGCCTTGCGGGAGTTTTTCCAACCCTACATGCTGATGTCCTGGATTGAACTGGAGACCTTTCTGCATGCAAAATAAAGTACTCTGCCATCATTTGTTTTATTAATTTCTGACTGACTTCAGTGCTGGCAAATACATCTCAAAACAATTCATATCCATGGGCTAAAACTATCTTGACGCTGATGAACATGAGCTCCAGGAATTTCCCCACATAGCTTGCCTTCTCATTTATACCAATAAAGACTTCAAGAAAAAAAAGAGCTCCCCACAGGATAAGATTAATTTCAGGCAGTAAACAGCAGAGATACGTTTTAACCACCCCCCTCCCGATTTATCAGGTTATGATATGAATAGGGGCTTTACAGAGTTACTCCAGAGCAAAGGAGCATGAGGAGTCAGCTGCATGCTGCCTAATTGACATGATGTACGGTTGACAGATGCTGGATCTGAAACTCCGGTGCAGTGCTCAGAGTGGTAGACTGGCAATAAGGAGATCAGGGCTCTAGTCAACACTCGGCCAAAAAGTTCATTGCATGACCTTGGGTCAGTTGCCGTCTAACCTACCTCACAGGGTTGTTGTGGGAATATGGAGAGGGTTGTATAAGCTGCCTTGGGTCCCTTGCAGGTAAAGAGGCAGGGTATGACTATAATAAAAGAAACAAGTAAATAACATTCATAGACCTTTAAGTAATGGGAGAGTTCTCATGATTTGGGACTACGTATCTACCTGTGGCAAATAAGCTACACCATATGGCTCGATGGAACAATCCACAGTGTACCCATCAGACAATTGAGCTCGTGGGTTGTCCCTGCTTTCCCCACTGGGCCTTCACCCAATGTGCCAGGCAGTGTCTAAAGCTGCTTCATCTCCTCTCCTTGCTGTGGCCACAAGCCCTTTGCACCTGGGGTGGCTTCCCTTCCCTTTTCCCCAGTGACAACACCCCCCTTTTAAGCACAAGAAATTGCCACAAACATTTTGTTGATTTTAAAATACGTATCATTCTTACGCAAGTGCAGGGGTGTGCACATCCAAGGTTTGCAAAGGGAAGCCTCACTTGGACAGTGTCCCAGCAGGTGTCTGCTATCAAAGTGCAAAAGGCACTCCCCATGGGCACTGGCCCAGAGCAGCTTCAAAGAGGTGTGTTTGTTTACTTGGTGCTCTCTTGACTCCTGTCAAACCAAGAGCTGTAAAGGGAAGAAAGCAAAGCTGCTCCTCAAAAGGGAGTAGGAACTCCCCCCCATGCAATAAGAGTCTCCCGTAGTTAGTGTTCCCCCCACTGTTCCCAGTGCCCCCCCATCTTTTTCACCCTTTCGCAAGACTCTAGTTACATGGAAAGAGGGAAACTGCATCCCACCTCAGTTTTGTTAGAACAGCTCCTTTCAAAGCAGGGATTAGCAAGACTAAACAGAGTAGATTTGATAAGGAAAAAAGTATCACCTGTATATGCAGGTTGTGCTCGGGATGAATATCCCTGGTATTAGTACTTGGGCAGATGTCCTGCTCCATCAGAAGTCTAGAGGAAATCAGTGCTGCAAGGTTTCCCAAACTTTTGCAGCAAAGACACCTTTTAGACATACTGGGTAGGTTCACATGACTGTCTGGGGTTTGTCAGTCACTTACTGCCAAATTACCACAATTGCTCTCAGCAGGCATAATTCACTGTGGCACCCGAACCCAGGGAAGGGGTGAAAGGAGCAGTTCACAGAGCACCCTGTAACCCCAGAAAAAGCTGTGGATTCAGGGGTGATTTATAAATGCATCTGCCCCCTTGCCGGGTTCAGACAGGAGGACAAACACTGTCCAGAGATCTGGCCACTGGCGCATGGGGCAGGAAGAGGAGTTCCCCAGGCAATCCTGCCAACCCCATCATAGACTTAGCCTGCTCCTGCTTTTCTCCCCACAGAACTAATTGGCACATTCCTTAATGGGGAAAGGAAGATGAAGGGTGAGTCATCCAAGTCCAAGAATGAGACTTATTTGGGCCACCCCAATTCCCATGAAAGCACATCAGCCGATTTATTGCAGGATATATCAGTTGCAAGGTCTTTCAGAAGTGCTGCCTCGGGCGTCTGCAAGGATAAGCTCAGCTTACAGAAATCTCGAAAAAAAGAATTGCATAGTTGGAAGGGCTCCTGAGTCTGGTTCATTCAGAAGTTCCCTGCAGGTTTGCACTGGAAGGGTTTTTTTCCCCACACATGCTGCATAATTAGCATCATCCCCCTCACAGGGTGCAGGTTGTCATGGCCTCAAATCCCAGTGCATGTGCATGGCTGGGGTGCTGTACAAGCCACCCTGAAAAGCTAGAACAAGCTATGGGCCACCAGCAGCAGAGGAAATCACCATGGCTTATTTCTGGGATCTCAAGACCCCCATCACTTTCAGAGACCTCTGAAAACTAAATTAGACTGACCCCAAATGCATGACAATATGTCTTCTGAAGAAGTCTGGATTCCAGATTGCTAAAAGCAAATGAACATGCCAAGCAAAATAATAGCTTCTCCTGTAAATACAAATCAACTGGAGTAAACAACATGTGAAAGAACATGCATGATTAATAGCACATCTTCAAAAGACCAAGTTATGCTTTCCTTTCCTCAGCCCCAAAGTTTCACAGTTCTTCACTGAAAAATAGAAATAGAAATAGTTATAGAAAAGGCCAATAGAAAAAGCTAAAGCTTATTAAATTTTCTTTTCGTATCAGGCTACCTTCAGGCAAAAGCAAGTAAAATTGGAATTCTTTGCCATCTGGAGGCACATGACTAGAGAATCTGTAACATTTCTAATGGCATAGGAAACTTTTCAAAAGATAAATGAAGAGTGTCTAGTACCACTTTCACTAGCACTCAGTGACACAGATCCAGAACAAAGCAGTGGTACAAGCAGTTTCAGCACACAAGAGAACCATTCCTGAAACTCTATAGAAAAACCCCAAAAATGCAGCTCCACACCCAGATCACAGCCTGACCTGGCTTACATTTCATGGCATTCCATAGTGGGTTCTCACCAGGTGCCATGAATTAAATTTTCTCCCTTCAGACATTCAAAGCTGCATGTAGCATTCAGAGCTGCATGTAGCATTGAGTTTGTGCCCCGGGGTTTGTGTGGGTCTAGAGACCAACTGGGACAGGCCCATGGCTGCTATAGCCGATGTGAATTCATGGGCAGCACCAGACAAACTGAACTCACAATCAGCACTGAAATCCCCCTGGATTAACAATTTGGGGGACTCCAACACCAGTTCTGAGGCCAGTTCTGTGAGTTTGGCCAGAGACAGTGTTAGGCAACGAGGTGGTCTATATGCCAGCAGAATCCCCAGACTATCTCTGGACCCCAACCTTGAGTACACACACTTGATGTATTTCAGCTCCTTAACAGGGTACTTGGTCAAAGAGGTGGTATCCTTATGGATCACAGCCACACTGCCCCCTTGCCTGCTTTACCTTTCCTGCTCCACAACACAATAGCCAGTTGGGAGGGTCTGTGCCCATATGGGACCTCTGTCTTCTCCCAGTCTGGTCTCTGTGAGACAGGCCAGGGCAAACCCCCTCATGTCTAACCAGATCATGAATGATCATAGTTCTATTATGGGTTGACCTGACATTACAAAGAAGCAGTAAAACGGATGGTGGGTGGCTCAGAGTGCTCTCCAATTTATCCGTTTGGCAAGACAACCAGAAGGAGAGATTGTTTTAAGACAACACTCTTTCCTTCTCCTGCAAGAGCATTTTGCCCTGCCAGCACCATATCGCCCATTGCCCCACAGAACCTGACTAGCTGCCCCCCTAAACATATTTCCTGGACCATAACTAAAAGATCACAAGAATTGTTAAAACAAGCAGTAAAATTACACACAAAAATCTAAAATGGTATATACTAAAAGATTAACAGCTCCACATACAGTCTGTCTGTTCAAAAGGATCAGTATCCATATAAAAGGTGGGAACCACCCAGCTTGAGCTCTTGCCCCTAGGTGGGCAATTCCTGCTCAAACAGCACCCCAATGCACATCGCTCCCACCAAGGCCTGGGGGCCCTGAAAGCTCTCCACAGCCACAGTCTTATATGTACCTTCTCGGGTCTTAAAGCAGGCAGACTCCACACAAACAGCACAAGTATATACCAATAAGAAGTAAAATACGCTTATGAAAACTATGTACTAATAGAAGCATCGCCGTCTTCAGTACTGGCTCATGGCAATAGGACCCCTCTTCCACACACTGTCTTGGTCTTTGTCCGGCAGAAGTAGCTGGTCGGGCACACCTCTGGAGAAGGGAGGACGGGGAAGGCCGCTACTCCCACAGGTGAAGCACAGGGGCAGGCAGCAGTCTGCCCCTGTAGCCAAACATGAGCTGTGGTAACCTTTCAGGGTTTCTTGTCATAATGTGTCTGAAAAATAGGTCCAACCAGCATAGTCAATGATCAGGATTACTAGGAGTTTTAGTCCAAAACAACTGGAGGCGGCATCCCCATGAGTCTCTGGGTACAGAAGAAGATACATCCTCAGTTTCTTCCTACAAAAAATATACTTGTTAGTGGTGAGCTGGTGAGTGCATCTGTGGAGCCCTGACTTTCACCTTCCGTGTTCCCCATTAGCACATAGGACTAAGAAATGAACTAAAAGAGAAAATGAAATGAAAGAGATAACACAGTCTTATCCTTCATATTCCATCAACCTGGTGTTTAAATTGGACAGATCAGCCTATTGTCAAGTCCCACTTTTAGAATGAAAGAGTTTTGTCATGTTACAAAATGATAGCATTGCTGCACGCATCATTAAACGCACCCCAGTTCAAATCTATCAAATAATGATAGAATAGTTTCAACACAGAGCTTCCCATTAGCAGACCTCACCCCAGCAGAAGATTTCCAAGAGAACACATTTCAGTCTGCTGTTCAGCATAGGTGGTACCATAGGAGGACAAGGGTGAATAAACCTAGAAAGCGCCTTCCCTGAGTGGATACAAAGACCATGGCAGCGTGCAGTGCCCAGATAAGATGGAGAGCGCAGAGGCATTAGACAACCGAGAGTGCCGTCAAGGCCAGCAGCCTGTTTCACACAGTGCTCTTCCTTTGTTCACTTTGTTCCATTTTTTTCTGCAGACTCCATCGTTCTTCAAAGAGCTTGTCACTTTATCCCACTGGCATCTGTAACATGTAGTACCTTTCATGCACCAACTGCACTCTTTCTGGGAAGAAATGATGCAAGCCGTACCATAACAACTTCCAAGATAGATTATTGTAAGAAGTGTCTGGAAACTTCCAAATGGTGGAGATGCCTACTTTCTGGTTATTAATTGCTATTAACACCCATGAACTTATTACTCAAGTACTGAAAGAACTTCACTGGATTTCAGTTTGTTTCTGGGTTCAGTTCAAGGGGCTAATATGGGCCTTGAAGGCTTTAAGTAACATGGAGAAAGGATATCTAAAAGATGGCTTTCTGCCATATGAACAGCCTTCTCTCTCCTGGTCATCTCATTGGAAGTTGCAGCAGGGGGACACCACCCTCAAGAAATTGCGGAATTATAAGTGATTGAAGTTAGATTCTTATCTGTTCAAGCTTGAACTGAACCATACTGCACTCTGGTGCTTATTAACCAAGACAGCATTCCTGTGTCCCTGGGCAAGCATTCCAGGGTCTATAGCATAATCCAGAGTCCCCACTCCAAGGTGAAAGGCAGTGCTCCAACCTCAGACAGGGAAGCTGGAGATCCAAACCCCTTCCCTGCCTCTACGTAGGAGCCAGCATGGAAAGAAACACACCAGCTGCCTATCTGAGGTCAGAAGCCTGACCTTGGAGAAGGGAAAGTGGAGGCATAGAAGCAAGGCTTCTATTTATCTCAAGCCTCTTTCCCTCCCCTTCCAGAGGACCCTCACTGGATGGGTTGAAAAACCTGCCTAGTGAAAAAAACAAAAGAGCAGGCAGACTAGGAGCACCTCTGCAGCTCCTCCTACCGTGCCATTTTCAGCCCAGGAAACTTGGAAGCTCTGGAGTTGAGTGGCTTCCAAACAGTGAAAGGGCAATCAAGAGCAACCCTTATCAGTACTAGGATTCAGCTGAAGTATCACCAATTGCCATGGTTATGAGTGGTCATTTTGCTTCCCTTACGCTTTTTTTATAGTAAGTTTTATTCAAAAAAACCCCTAAAACAAAGGAAAACGAAAAACAACATCAATCATCAGAAACATCGGACCAGCTGGGTCAGCCCCCACATTTTTTTTCTATTTATGATAACTTAAAAACATATTTAAATCTATACGAAGTCCCATTTCTCTAGCCAATAATAAAAAGAGTTCCAAGTGTGATAGAAATCAGTATCTTCTTTCTCCTTCAATGAATTTTGCTTCCCTTACGCTTGACACAGAATTGTAGCAGACAGTTCTTTTTGCCTTCCACTGCCTTTGGCCCCACTGTTTATAAATTTCTTTCTGCTATACCAGTCACTTATGGATAACATGTGCATCTGATGATGTGGCCCCAAGTCTACAAAATCTTATGCCGTAATTTGTTTGTAAGACCACAGGACTCTGTTGTGTTTGCTGCCAGAAAGAAAACTTTTTCAGGATATCTTTGTCCTTTTGGTACCTTCCCCAAACTATCCAGTTCTCCTGAGCTTTTAACATTTTTTCATCCATCTGTTAGGTACTGCTTTTGTCTTATGTTTTATCTGCTGCTCTCTTCTTTCACTGTTTTTATTGTTTAACAATGGATGTTTTATACTATATTTAGCTATATTTTATTCGATGATGGTGTTTTGTAAGCTGAGCTTTTAATGGCTAGTGCTGCTCTCTGGTTTTATTTGTTGATCTTTGGCTGTTAAAAGGTGTTAGGCTTTTATATTTGTATGTATTTTATTCTTTGTATTTATTTTATTGTACATTGCCTCAGGCATTCCTTAAGATAATTAAGAAGATAATTAAGCCACCCTGAAAATTTTTCAGGGCTATAGGCTATTCTACTCAGAAGCAGAAGCAACTATGCACACAATTGCCTATATTTCCAGTTTTAAAGAGGTTAATTCTGAACAGAAAGGCTCAGATCATCTTACTCATTTCCATGCACAGCACATATAATGATTAAATATTGACATGGCTAACTTCTGAAGCATCTTTTGATCCTTAGGCTAAATATCAGAGACTATTTATATATTAGGCCAGCAATTAATCTCTACCCTATAAAAGGGATAAAACAACACCAAGTAGATATTGCCAGAGGAAACTCACTGTCTAAGTCATTGATTACAATTATGGTGATTCTATTTCATTTCTAACATTCGCGGACTACCTAATCCTATAAATCGTTGTGCCACTGCAGAGTGCATTGGACTGAACAGGATCTTGCTTTTCAGCATGATTTCTCTACTTGCCATTGTGCCACTGATGCCACTTCCACAAAGCAACTATAGTATAGGCACTGGTCTTGTTTAAAAGCAGCAGCAACAAATTTCATTGCCACTAATTCTGCTATGCATATGGAAAACTGCATCCAGTAAGACTTTTGGGTGGACCAGGGCCGCTCAGAGGGCTTAAGACTGGGTAGGGACTTGAATTCAGATCCAGCACTTATCAGAAGGAACATACTCAGCCCCCTAATTGCAGCTTCAGAGAAAGGCATTCCCCCAAAGACCAGGATATCTTCTCCAAGTACAAGGCTGAAATTGTTAATCCACTTACTGAATCCAATTGATGGCAGGGTAATCCCCCTGACCTCAATACGGTTTTAATACAACTATTGTGGAGTAAGTGGTTCAAGGAGTGCAATCAAAATTTGCTATGAAAAGGGCTTAGCATGAGCTGAAAGCAAGGGAGAAAATCCTGTAAAATACAAAGGTTTTTTTAAAACAGCAGAAGTTCTTGTTCATGCTGCGTCCTGAAGTGCTTTGACTTTTATTTTTATTTATATTTATTACAGTTCACAGTAGAAGAAGAACACAGTCTGGTGGCACATGACAGAGCCACGGGTTTATTATGGAATCGCTTTTTGCAAGCCCCCACCTACTTCATCAGAGCACTGCTGACAAATAGGAAGAATGCTTCTTTTTAAAAGCTGAATGAAAAAGCTTCCCTCTGCACCTTGGGTTCTACTTGCCACTCGAAAGCCAGGAGGGCACAACCTCAGCTGGTGCTGCAAGGTGCTCCAGTAGGTAGGGGAGGGGATGGCAAGGGAGCGGGAGCTCACGACACCTGCACTCCCTCCCCTCTTGCCCCGATGGCCCAAGAGAAGAGATGGGTGTGCGGAGGACACAAATGTCCATCGGCACAGAGAGAGCCCTTCTCCCCGCCTTGCAATATGGCAAAATGATTCACTGGCTTTGCAACTCTCCCTTGCTTAAGAAATGGCCACCGTGTGCCCTCCACAGGGGGCTTGGGGGAGAATATGGCCCATACCGAAAAAGAATCCCTACTGATGACAAACCCTAGTAAGGCCCTGCGAGGTAATGAGAAGCACCACTTTTTTGGGGGGAGCACGAGGCACGCCATTCTCTGGAACAGTGCAGGACGTTTTCTGAAAACCAGCCGTGTCATTAAATAAAAGCAAAATCAATAGAAAACAGTAGGAATTGTTCTGACTCTCTAAAATGGACAAGCTGAATGGCTGCCCGGTTGCCTGTGGGGAGACCAACACACACACCCAAAAATAGTTGAAGAGTAGCACCTGCACTAAATAGAGTAATAGATTCAGAAACAGGGTCCCTCACAAAATACATAAAAGAATCAATTTAAACACTTTTTGGTTCAATTGTACTGTATTTGTCCTCCTGTGGAAATTTCTGGGTTCTTGATCCAGGAGCTCTGCCTTCGGCAGCACTGCAGCATTCACAGAGGGAATGGCCCCATGGCCTCACTCTATCTTTCGCTGTGTTGGAAAGCGTATCAGTGGGTTGGGTTGGGTTAACATCAAAGAGTTGTATGGTTGTTGCCACATGCTGACTGCTACCTTCCATCTATGTACAAGGCCAAAGTGTCATAGTGAGCAGAGTCATGGCTGCGGGATGGTGCCAGAGTTGAGCACCTGTAAGTGCCTGCAAAGCTTTTATGCAAACTATTTTGTGGCGTATTTATTGTAAGACCACTAAGTCTACAGCATCAGCCTGTAAAGCTGGGGGAAGCAATTTGTGGCCTCCAAATATTGCTGGCTGCAACTCCCATAAGCCCTCGCTGGCAGAGCTAATGATGAGGAATGATGGGAATGGCAGCCCGAAATCTGGAGGACCACTCCTGCTGTAAAATACGTTTGCCCTCCTGATACACAAGCCTCTTCCTTCACATGCCCCTTCATGTTTTTCATTTGAGAAGCTCATTAAAATGAGAGAAAGCACATTGTTTATACCATTCTTGGGGCCAATTAGTGCATTCCAAATCCCTGTCAGCCATTCAACCTGAATGGCCAGTGCACAGAACATGAAGTGGAACAGAATCCAGCTACCCAACCTCCAAAATGTACTGCTTGCATTATCCTTCATTCCTTGTCTCCTCTGACAAAAATGCAAAGGTGCAAGCTGAAATCTGC